TTCAATAAAGAAGGAGTAACAAAAACCAATCGGACTGAAAATTTTCCTTCACCTCATCTAAATCATCTTCCGTCCCCTGCACAGAACTAACATCCCTTGAGTCCTCCTTTCCACTAATCATAAGACAATCAAAACTAGGGAGGGGCTCAAGATCCTCTGCTGACACACTATCCTCCAACAAAAGGTCAAAAAGGGCTTCATTAGAAAGCATGTTAGGGGTGCAATCCTCCACCATAGAATCTATGTCATCCAAATAAAAACACTCTCCACTATCCTGACAGAGCCTCTTCATTATTTTGGACTTATCAAAGGTGGCAATCTCATCCCCAATGCGGAGGACAAGCTTACCGTCCCCAACATCAATAAGTGCTCGGGCAGTTGCCAAGAATGGTCTGCCCAAAATTATAGGTACCTCACGATCCTGATCCATGCCCAGAATAACGAAGTCTACAGGAATAATAAACTTGTCCACTTTAACCAACACGTCTTCAACAATCCCTTTAGGATATTTGACTGAACGGTCAGCCAGTTGAATGCACATACGTGTTGATTTTAGTGGACCGAGTGCAAGCTTTTCATACAAAGTGAATGGCATCAAATTAATGCTTGCACCCAAATCAGCTAAGGCCCTATCAAAAGTAAGATTTCCTATTAAGCAAGGTATAGTGAAAGAACCTGGATCCTTAAGCTTCTCTGGTAGATCCCTCCTAATCACAGCTGAGCAGTCCACGTTAAGTCTCACAGTTGATGCTTCTTCCAGCTTCCTTTTGTTAGAAAGCAGATCCTTCATGAACTTTGCGTACTTCGGCATTTGTGCTAATGCATCCACAAATGGTATGTTAAGCTGAATTTGTTTCATGAGTTTCAAAAAATGACCAAACTGGTCACTGTCGTTCTTCCTAGTCAATCGCGCCGGATAGGGGAGATGTGGGGTGTAATTCTTGACCGGAACGGGCTGTTTTGGTGCAGCCGCCACCTCTCTTCCCTCATCTTTCTCCTTTTCTTCTTCCCGGGCAGCCGGTTCAACTTCATCGGGCTTCTTTGTTGTGGCAGCAGGTTCTAGCTCTCTTCCACTCCTCAAGGTGACTGTCTGAACATGTTCTCTTGGGTTTGGCTCGGTATTACTAGAGAGGGATCCCTGAGGCCTCTCATATATGGCTTTTGCAAGTTGCCCCAATTGATTTTCCATGTTTTGCATCCTTGTGTTTGCTTGTTGTTGAATTGCCATGTTTTGTTGTTGATTTGCCAAGGTCATTTGCATGAATTGCTCGAGCTTCTTCTCCAAGCTTGAAAGTTTATGCTCAGTCTCATTCCTATGACTCCTTTGCCCTGGGTGAGGTGCTTGTTGCTGGCCTTGAGGCGCTTGGGGCTGATTATAGTTCCTAGACTGCTGCTGCTGCTGATTTCCTTGCCCGTAATTCCATTGTTGCTGTTGTCCGTAGGGCTGATTGTAGTAGCTCTGCCGCTGATAATACATCACATCCACTTTCTCTACTCCAGGAGCTGCCGAGTGTGCCATCATAGTGCACTCATGTGGCGAATGGAGTCCCCCACACGAAGTACAAGAGGGGCTAATAGGACCGGGAGCTACCATATTAACACTGGGCACCGAGAGAGCAAGATCTGTCTTCTTTTGATTATCCTCCACACTGGTAGCAAGCTTCTGAATCATACTAGTCAAAGCATCTACCCTCGCAGAAAGGGCAGAATTCTCACTGATCTCATACAAACTCGGGGCCTTCTGGTGAGGTGTGTCCCGAGAGCTGTACCATGATGCATTATTTGAAACAATCTTCTCAACTAGTTCTTCCGCAACCTCAGATGGTAATTGAGGGAAAGCTCCCCCTCCCGAAGCATCAAGCATCATCTTCCCTTCATTGCTGAGTCCACTGTAGAAGCAGAATACAATCTCACAATCAGTCATCTTGCCTTGAGGGCAAGCTCTTCTCAGCACTTTAAATCTCTTCCATGCCTCAACCAGTGTCTCCAACGAGCCTTGCTTGAAGTCTTGCAGCTGCTTCTTCAACTTTATAGCCTTTGATATTGGAAAGTATTCTTTTATGAAGGCCTTGTGCAGCTGACCCCAAGTTTGAATGTGGTGATGTGGATTGCTATCCAACCACCTCTGTGCATCATCCCTCAATGAGAAAGGGAACAATAACATCCGTACCTGATCGTCATCTAGCCCAGGAATCTTGAAAGTTTGGCACATCCTCAGGAATTTGGTAACGTGTGCCACTGGATCTTCTGTAGGGCTCCCTCCAAACTGATTATTCAAGACCATGTTGATAACCGCCGGCTTGATCTCATAACGGTGTGCAGTAATTCCTGGCACTTGAATGCTGTCATATTCTGTAATCTCCAGAGTGAGGAAATCTGCAATGGTCTCTCCTTGATAGAGCGGATTGTCATGTGGGACATAGTTCTAGAACGTAGGGGCCTGCTATCTCGGCTGACGAACTGGTTGTGGTCTAATAGGTTGTGGACGGATAAAGTTCGGTTGTGGTTGGGGCTGAACTTGGGGCTGATGATATTGTTGAAATTGGTTTTGGAAGGGCTGATTTTGTGGTTGAGTCAGGGGTGGAGTTTGAGTGACTGGGGGCTGATTTTGTCTCGGCTGAAAGACTGGATTATTTTGCCCTAAACCCTGCATCCCATAAGTTTGGTTTTGAAAAGTGGTTTCGGGAGCAATAGAGGTATTTTGGAAAAGCTGATAGAGCGGTGGAAGATTTAATTGTGGAGTGGACTGATTTTGAGGAAAGAATGAGGTGCGGGAATTCTGAAATCCCGAGTAATCTCTAGGTGAATTATCGTGTGAAGACTGGGGAGAGGTATTGACATAAAAATCCAGGTTACCAGAAGTGGTTGGACCTCAGACGTCCCAGCTATTCCAAACGATGTAGGTTCCATGGTTGCGTTCTTTTCTCGAAAAGTCTTGCGGTTCGGTCTAGCAAACTTCTCAATCTCAGGATTAAGAGAGACAAGCGGTTCTCCCTTCTTTGAACGTGTATGCATAAACAGATCTGACCTGCAAGGTTAGTAGACAAAACATCCTACGAAAAACTAAAACAAGTCGCTGATATTAATTAACCCTCAAATCCGACACCGTCCCCGGCAACGGCGCCAAAAACTGATGTGTGTTTTCGCGCACTTAAAATAGATCGTAATATAGTGGTGTAAGTACGAGTATCGTCTCCACATGGACGGACAAAAGGGAATTAAGAATTAACTAAATTCAGCGATTAAAAATAAATAAATAAAAGGAAAAATTGTACTAATAATCCCAACTATTGGCGGTCCGCTCATAATAATCTCAACTATTGATTATTCCAGAATAATCCCAACTTTAGGGGCCTTCCGCCAATAATAGTTCCTATGAATAAATTCTTGTAGTTTCTAAAGTGGATGAGATGAGATATAACAAGTAATCCCTATAAATAATCTCAACTTTTAATTTTTAGGCTTAATTTCTATTTAAAATTCATTTTTTATAGAGGTAATATCTGGTCATGGACCATTATTGGCGGACAGTATATATAGTTGGGATTATACAAAAATAATCAATAGTTGGGATTATTTTCAGCGGACCGGCAATAGTTAGGATTATTATTTTCAATTTTTCCTAAATAAAAAATGCGTCGTGCGAGATATGATTGGGTTGGAAAATTAAACTAAGGCGAATGAGCAATTAAAATAAAAGATTGGTTTCTTCTTAATTAACGACGAAGGGAGCAGAGATTGAATCCGGGGTAACCAGATTTCTGGCAGATCAGGCCTAATTACATGAATTTAATTTAATTGAGCCTAGCTAATGCATTATTTAGCACATTTGTTTAACTAATATTATGATATGTCACAAAAAAAAAAATATTATCATATCTATGATTTCAGTAAATTGTGTTTTATTTATCTCGAGTTTGACTCGATAGAGCACTTATGTCGTATTAAGGATCATGAGACTTATGTTACATATCTTGGAGCCTTGGAGGAAGGATTCAAAAAGAATTGATACAAATGTTGGCAAATGAGGTTAGGAAAAGGATACAAAAGCATAATCGCAAATATAATCTTGTTGACAATACTTGTTATAATAGCCGGTGCAGAAAGAAATTTCTCAAAACTTAAGTGGATAAAGATATTTTTGCGATCGATCATTTAATCAATTCGGTAGATCTGTCTTTAATAATTGTGATTCTATCTTTTAGATCTGTCTTTTTTAATTAATTTCGATTCACTTATTTTTTTAAACTCTAATGATTTTCTTTCATCATCTACGAACTGATGTTTTCACTTAAGAAATTAATGCCATTTTAATGACTTTTTATTTATGAAGATGGCAATCATAATAGCCTTTTGGAATGATGTAATTTTATATTAGTGTCATGTTTTCAATATCAAAATGCCATTTTTATGGCACTAATGATATGAAAATGGCAATATTATTTTTGATGCCATGTTTTGGGAATGCCATAGTTTCGACAATAAATGCCATATTTTTTCACAAAATGGCATTATTATTTTTCTTGGCAGTAATCAATATGGCATATTTTTTTAATCTAGAACAATCTTATTGGTCAGGAGGTTGCTGGAGTAGGAGACAACACCAGATGAAAGCTTAGTGGAGCACGTCGGAGCATGGCAGCGGCGATTTTACCGGAGGTTAGAGGTGGACTCACTCTGCGGCTGCTACAGCGAATTCACAGGGCGGCGGCGGACTCGCCGGACGTCGGCGGCGGACTCGCCGGGTAGAGGCGGGGGACTCGCCGAGCAGAGGTGGGGGACTCGCCAGGCCAGACTTGCCTGGCGGTTGGTGGATCCGGCTACAGGGAGTCGCATAGAGTACTATGCCTCCCATTGCTGCGTGCAAGTGTGCAAAGCCATTATTAATTAGTTTTTCATTTTTAATCAAAGCATCAGAAATTTCATTAAGGGTACTATTGTCAGCCCATGTATTTTTGCTCCTATTAAAGCATACCAAACATTAGACTCCTATTTTTGCATTTTAGTTATGTTTTAGGGAATTACCCTTCAAGATGTTAGCAAAGCACTACGTCATTGCAGACGAGATCTTCTCACCCATGCTCTGTTGGAGAAGCTCTAATTCTCCAGTCGGAATAATGGAGTAGAACATTTGCTAATTCGGAACATGAACTTTCCCGCGTTCTCCTCCCCCACGACCGCAATTACACCTCCGTGCCATCCACAACAAAATCATGAATCCACTGCATGGTGGACCTCCAAAATATCTCGTTGCTGCCGCGTTGGGCGCTTAGCAGATGCAGTTAATCAGTTCACCCGCATGAGGCTCTCCGGTGTCGAGCCAAACCACGCTACCTTCCTTACTCTTCTTTCCTGCTGCGCTCACTATCCATCCCAGTTTCCGCATTTCGGAGCTTCTGTTCACGCTTACGCTCGGAAACTCGGCCTGGATACTCAAAATATCAAAGTGGGTACTGCTCTTGTTTCCATGTACTCAAAATTCGGAGAATTGGGTTTTGCGGGGCTGGTCTTTGATCATATGAGTGCCAGGAATAGGGTCACTTGGAACACCATGATTGATGGGTACATTAGAAATGCCATGTTTGAGGAAGCAATTGAGCTGTTCGATGAAATGCCTGAAAGGAACGTTGTTTCTTGGACTGCGATGATAGGTGGGTTTGCGAAGCACGGCCGTTTCCAAGAGGCTCTAGAGTGGTTTCAGGATATGCTATCATCTGGAGTGGAACCTGATTATGTGACCCTGATACCCGCACTTTCTGCTTGTGCTAACTTGGGGAGTCTCAGTTTAGGCCTATGGCTTCACCGCTTCAGTTTGCAGCACAAGTTGATTGATAATATCCGAGTGAACAATACATTGATAGACATGTACTGTAGGTGCGGTTGTGTTGATTTGGCACTTCAAGTTTTCGAGCGAATGCCCGAGAGAAGCTTAGTTTCATGGAACTCAATCATTGTTGGCTTGGCAGTGAATGGTAACGCAGATGAAGCACTTGAACATTTCAATATGATGCAAAAGGAAGGGTTCCAACCAGATGGAGTGAGCTATACCGGAGCTCTGACAGCCTGCAGCCATGCCGGTTTAGTGAAAGACGGACTGACATTATTCAAAACAATGAAGGAAGTGCATGGAATTCCACCAACAATTGAGCACTATGGGTGCGTTGTTGATCTTTATAGCCGTTCCGGGAGATTAGAGGATGCATTAAGCGTGGTAAAGAAAATGCCAGTGAAGGCAAACAAAGTGGTATTAGGATCCATGATGGCAGCCTGCAGGGCACATGGGGATGTCAGGTTGGCTGAAGAATTGATGAGTTACATGTATGAGTTGGATAAGGGTGGAGATTCAGACCATGTCCTGCTTTCTAACACATATGCCGCATTTGGGAGTTGGAGAGGAGCAAGCAACGTGAGGAGGAGAATGAAGGAGCTTGGAATACAAAAAAGACCAGGAACCAGCTCTATTGAGGTCAGTGGTGAAATCTACGAGTTCATGGCTGGTGATAGATCACATGAGGATGCAGAATTGATATATGCTATGCTGAATCTTTTGTCTCATGAACTGCAGATATTTGGCACCGTTCCAGATTAGGTTGTTACTCGTAGGGGATCATCTTGAATTCTTGATTGCAGGAATAGTTTTTCCCTAAATATTTTTAATTGAAGACGTTTTAGTGTGTAAATTAAATGATACGGAGTAGAAAACAAGCTGTTTGTGTTTGGGGAGCTTTTGCAAAATTTGTTCAGATTGTAGTTCAAATAGATAAAATGTGGTGATTAAGGTGTTGTTCTGTTCATCTTATTCTTGTTACTTATTGCTTATTCTTATTTTATTCAGATCAGATCAGATCAGAAAAATTCAGATCAGATCAGATCAGATCAGATCAGAAAGATTCAGATCAGATCAGATCAGATCAGAAAGATTCAGATCAGATCAGATCAGAACAGAAAGATTCAGATCAGATCAGAAAGAATCAGATCAGATCAGACCAGATCAGAAACATTCAGATCAGATCATATCAGAAAAGTTCAAACATGATTTATCACTTTTATTATTATATTAATTATTATTATTATTATTGTTATTACTATTATGATTATTATTATATACTATCTAATTATTATTAATATATTAATAAAAATATGATAAAGAAATAAGATATTAATAATAGTTATAATATTTTAATATAATACTCCCTCCGTCCCAAAAAGAACTTCACTTTCCCTTTTTGGAAAATAATTTGTGGTTCACAACATTTCTCTCTCCTCTGCACAACTCTCCACCACACAATTCTCACTTTCTTAATCAGCGTGCCACTTTATTTAGGAAGAACATTTAGGGACGGAGGTAGTAATAGTAATAGAAATGCAATTATTAAGAAGACTATTATTATTATTATTATTATTATTATTATTATTATTATTATTATTATTATTATTATTATTATTATTATTATTATTATTATTGTTATTATCATCATCATCATCATCATCATCATCATCATGATCATCATCATCATCATCATCATCATCATCATCATCATCATCATTGTCATTGTCATTACAATATAATAATAATAATATGATTAATATTATTATAATATTATATTATAATTATATGTAATTATAATTATAATTACAATTATAATTCTTATAACTATAAGTATAATCAATTGTAATTATTATAATTATATCTATAATTAATTATAATTATAATAATTATAATTATCATTACAATCATAATTATAATTATGATTATAATTATAATTATAATATAATATTATAATAATATAGTAATACTAATAATAATAATCGTATTATTATTAATATATTGGAATAATAATATTAATATAATAATATTGTTATGATAATATTAATCGTATTTATAGTACTATTATTATATTATGATATTATAATTAATGTTAATATAAATATAATTATTATTAATTATAATTATAATAATTATAGTTATATTATTATATTATAATATTTTAATTAATGTTAATATATTTATAATTATTATTAATTATAATTATTATAATTATAATTATAATTATAATTATAATTATAATTATAATTATATTATAATTATAATTTATGATTATAATTATTATTATTATTATTATTATTATTACTACTACTACTTTTGTAATTATTTTACGGAGTAACTATAATAATATTGATAACTATAGTTACAATTATAGAGATAAATATTGTAATTATAATTACAATTATAATTATATAAGTAATTATAATTAAAATATAATTACAATTATAATTATATCTATATTTATAATTAGTGTAATAGGTATAAATATTTTTCATTTTAAATTTAATTTTAATTATTATTATTATTATTATTATAGTTACGATTATAATTATAATTTTATTTAAATTATATTTGTAATTGCAATTATAATAATTATAATTATAATTATAATCATAGAAACATTCAAATCAGATCAGATCAGAAAGATTCAGATCAGACTAGAAGGATTCCGATCAGATCAGAAACATTTAGATCAGATCAGACCAGATCAGAAACATTCAGATCAGATCAGAAAGATTCAGATAAGATCAGATCAGATCAGAAAGATTCAGATCAGATCAGATCAGAAAGATTCAGATCAGATCAGATCAGAAAAATTAAGATCAGATCAGATCAGAACTTAAAAAATTCAGATCAGAAACATTCAGATCAGGCGAAGAGAACAACTTCTAAGTTCATTGTTCGATCGCTTAACAATGTTTTTGCTAATTGTTCACATTATAGGGGGGGGGGGGGGTTGGTAAATGGCGTTTCAGCCGAAAAATGACGATTTGACCACTTTCAGCGTTTTCAATAAGTGAAAAAGTTGTTTGGTAAATGGCGGTTCGACACTTGCGTTTTTGGACAAAAACGCTGAAATGAAAACGCTGCTAATAGGAGAGTTTTGGGTTGGCGTTTTTAAAAGTGACATTTTCTACTAATTTTATGACCAAACAGCTAAATTACCAAACATCTTCTAACAACCTGCCAATTTATTTCGCTAGTTAAACCCGTTGACTGAATCCACTATAAACAACCCGCTAACACTACCCGCTATCCGCCAACCGGTAAATGCCAAACACGCCCGTAAAAAAGATAGGGGGAGAAATGTGCCATGTATCTCTCAATTTATTTGTTCAAAAAGGAACAATGTATTACTTTCTTTAGTTTTTTTCGAAATAATGCTAATTAATTAAGGAAAAATTCATGTGAATAATCTCATCTATTATCTATCTTCTCTTATTAATCCCAAATATGAATTATTCCAAAATAATCTAAACAATATATGGTATCTTCTAAAAATGAGCCTGTGACCTGAACGAACAACTTTAGCAGGTTACCCGACCATGTGTCAAATTCTAATTGGGCATCATTATCTTTTCTATTTTCCTTTTATTTCTTTCCCTTTTATTTTCTCTTTTTTCGTTTTTATTCCCTATCAAATTCTTCAGCAACCCTGTTCAAGACTTCGAGCCCTTTTCTTTCTCCCATCTGCTATGTATCTATTCTTCTTCATTCTCGAAGATATGGCCTTTTTTTTCCTTCTTCTATTATTTGTTTTTTCTTTTTTTTTTCTTTTCCCTGTTTTTGCTTCATCTTCCTGTACTGGGCGTACAAGTGTTTCGGGACATTCGAGGCACTGGCCCTTCTTTGATCCATCAAGCAAGGCCGCTGTAGAAATATAGAATTTCAACAACCGACTGGTTTTCCCAGAAGCTCTTCGACTGGTCTTCACCAACATCGTCGTCCATCGGAGTTGTTCTTCGATGTCAGATCTCCATCGGTCCGTCTTTCCGTCCATGCGAACTGTTCTTTGTATTCGTCGTCCATCCCTTCAACCCAGCAGCTGCTCCGGCCTCCACCATTCGTATTCGTAGACATCGATGAATAAAGTCACATTTGAGTTGGATTTCATAAATTAAACTTTGCAAATCTGAAATTGAAAGAAGTACAATTTGAGGTGCAAATTGAAGAACGAAAGGAACGTGAGAGGGAGATTTACTATTGTGGTGCAGGGGAAGAGAAAAGAAAATTAAAAAAGAAAAGAAAACGAAAGTGAGATTCAGGCTGTTAGAGACGAATTGAAGGAAGCAGTAATGGACTAATGGTTCTGGACTTCCAGTGAAGATGAAGAAATATGCCATTCAAATTTCTTTTCTTTTAATAATTTATACTGGTTTAGCAAGTCACAGGTAACCTGGACTAATTTGGGAAGGGTGCTAGTATATTTGAGATTATTTTTGAATTATGCGTACTTGGGATTAATATAAGAAGATCTCGAATAGTTGGGATTATTTTTATGAATTTTTCCATAATTAATTACGAAAATAATGCTGGGTTAAAAGTATTTACCGATCTACTGCTGGGTTTAACCATGGTCGGGAAAAGTCGCCAAACGGTTGGAGGACTTATAAGTCGCCATCCGGTTTGGCGACTTATAAGTCGTCCAACTATTTAGCGACTTACCCCCTGCATCTGAACGAAGGAACCAACTACTGCCAGCCACACACGATTGTGCATGGCAGGGTACACACCATCGTGCGTACTTTCTAAACGCGAATTTCAGCCCCTTTTTAGTCCTAGCTCGTCCCAAACTCATCTGTTTGCTATAAATAATGCCTCCCTTCTGAACTAAACAACCAGCTACTGGAAGCCAGGCACAATCGTGCCTGGCAGTGAGGCACGCTGTGCCTGGAGCTGTGCCTGACTCCGGATTTCGTAGTTTCAGTCTGATTTCACATGTTTTCTATAAATAAGTCCTCCTTTCTCCTATTTAGGGGTTACGAACCAGATACAACACATTACAAAACATACAACACACCTGGTCACAAACACATACATAACACCCGCTCTCAACAACATATAAAACACCGCAAAACACCGCATACATACCCTTCACAAATCAGATCCAAAACAGTAGATTCATAACTGGTAAAACAAAGTACAATCATCCAATATTCATAACACAATAGTCATCTAATATTCATAACCGAACACATCAAAACATCATAAAAGAGTTTACAGGTGCAAATTCGTAAAATAAAGTCAATTGTTGCTACAGCATCTAGTGTACAAGAAAAACTTCAATACAAAAGACAAACTACAAGTTCTCATGGTCTTCTTGATCGTCTTGGTCATGGAGATGTTGTTGTAGCTGCCAACGCCTACGCCGCTGTCGTGGTTGAAGAACCACTCTCTCATACTGAGTCTGGGATGATGAAGTCGCCGCTGCACTAGATGTCGATGGCATATCCTGAGATGGGGGCATATGTATAAGATGATCGTAGTCGACTCGCCCCAACACATCTGAACACAAGGAGGCAATGCCTATTAGACCCTATCCGTACATGTCCACGTCATATGTATCACTCATTGTGGCAGTAGCCCGCTGATGTATACGCTGCAAAGCTCGTGTCTGAAATATAAAACACAATTATAATTAGTTAGAAAAAAAAGTGTTAAACAAAGAAAATGACTTACTTTAGTAATTAGTAATATACTCACCGTCAAATGCAAAGCCAAGGAGCTAGGCTGATAATGGTGAGTAGGGAGTCTGAACGAAGGAGACACAAACAAGCGAGTGATGTTGTAATACCATCTCATGTTGTCTTCTGAAACAGATGGGACAAATGTTGGAGTCCTGGTCACAACTAGCTCAGCTCGCCTGTCCCACATAGTGATGTATCGGACATGTCTCAGTGCCCAATCCTCCGTATGCTTCCCACGCCTATCCAGCCTATGAAGCTCTACATATGTGTCGATAGGTGCTGG